TCGCTGAGCAAGTTGAAAACATGCTAAAGAAGGGCTTCATACAAGAATCGTGTAGTCCATGGGCAGCTCCTGTCATTCTAGTCAGGAAAAAGGATAATTCATGGAGATTCTGCATAGACTATCGTCGCCTAAATGCCATCACAAAAAAAGACGTCTATCCTTTGCCACGTATAGATGACGCCGTGGACTGCCTGCACTCTGCCTCCTATTTTTTTTCTGTTGACTTGCGTTCTAGGTATTGGCAAGTTTCTATGCATCCCTCAGATAAAGAGAAGACAGCCTTCGTAACACCAGACGGTCTCTTTGAGTTTAACGTTATGCCCTTTGGTTTGTGCAATGCTCCAGCGACATTCGAGAGATTTATGGATACAGTACTCCGTGGATTAAAATGGGAAATTTGCATGTGCTATCTAGATGACGTGATTCGAGAGATTTATGGATACAGTACTCCGTGGATTAAAATGGGAAATTTGCATGTGCTATCTAGATGACGTGATTATCTACGGCAAAACTTTTCAAGAGCATAACCACCGCTTGTCGCTTGTGTTTGAATGGTTACACGAAGCTGGCCTTGTTTTAAACTCAAAGAAGTGTCATTTTGGAGAACGTCAAGCCCTCGTATTAGGCTTTCTCGTGGATAAAGAAGCCGTGCGACCAGACCCACAGAAGACTGCAGTGGTTCGCAACTTTGAACCACCACGAACAGTGAAGGACCTGCGAAGTTTTCTGGGTCTGTGCTAATATTTCCGCCGATTTATTAAGAACTTCGCACAACTTGCCTCCCCACCGACGTCCCTTCTTCATAAAGACACACCGTACTTGTGGGATGATAAATGTGAGGCTGCATTTCAACAGCTGAAGTTTTTATTGACTTCAGGACCCATCCTAAAGCATTTTGATCCTGATGCTTTGACTGAACTTCATACTGATGCTAGTGGGCTAGGTGTTGGTGCTGTGCTGGTCCAACTCTGCAACAGTCGCCAGCACGTCGTAGCATATGCCAGTCGGACACTGACCAGAGCAGAGACGAACTACACCGTCACCGAGCTCGAGTGCTTAGCAGTCGTCTTCGCCATTCAGAAGTTCCGACCGTATCTACATGGCCGCGAGTTCACAATAGTGACCGATCACCACTCACTATGCTGGCTTGTGGGACTTCGTGACCCGTCTGGCCGGCTGGCTCGTTGGGCGTTGCGCCTCCAAGAGTACAGCTTTTCTGTTACCTATAAGAGCGGACGATGTCACACAGATGCCGACTGCTTATCCCACCTTCCTTCAGTACACACCAATGCTGACGACAATGACATTGATGACTATTTAGTTTCTGTCTCGTCCGACTTCCCAGATACCAGCAGCTTCAAACGTGAGCAGCAGCGCGACCCTACTCTGAAACCTTTGCTCGAAGCTGCACATAACTCCGTCGACAAGCACTTTAAAATTTCAAATGGCTTGCTGTAAAGAAGAAACTATTCAGCCGATGGCCTCCCGTTGCTTCTAGTGGTGCCGGAAAGCCTGTGTCAGGTCGTCCTTCGTTCTGCGCACGATGACATAACATCCGGTCATCTCGGTTTCACACGTACGCTGCATCGACTACGTGAGAGGTTCTACTGGCCAAAAATGGTGTGAGCCTCTTGTCATGTGCTCACACAGAACATCATGATGTTTCCACGGCTGCTCTGCCCTGTCACGCTGTAATGGTGAACAAGCATTCATATTGTGCTTTTTTAGCACCTGACGTCATAACAACTAGCCATACCACATGCTTGAAGTCAAAAGAATTAATACTGTATCTAAAAGTCATGAGTGTCGATGTCAGTTGGTGTGCCATGCAAAAATTCACTTTATATGCCAAAGTAAAATATCTTATCAGCATTTCCTGAGCTTCATGCTTGCTCAGGGCCATCGCTGTATACAGGAGATTTGTATGGCAGAGTAAAGTCAGCTTTGAAAATTGCTGTCAATACCCCTTTAAGGTGTTTATTCAGTTGAGTGTTTGTAACAAGACTAGAAATGTCCTCAGTAGTACTAGTATGGTTTTTTGTCACTTTGCGGTAAATAAATTTGAAAAGTACAATGAAGGGATACATTCATCTGCTTGAATTGTGCAAGATTGTCTATAGCCAGAGCTGTCACTTTTCTCGTTTTTCGCTGGTACAGCCATTATTTTCCCTATGGTGCTGGCTGGTGGTTTGACTATCCACAGTGTGGCACACTCCAATTTTTCTGTATTTTATAAATCTGCACATCTAACTCAAGCACACCTCTAGACAATATGCTTGCGATAAATGGATTCTCTTGCACAGATTTGATAACTGAAACATTTTAATTATCATGCTCACATTTATATTGTACAATATTCCCAGACTGAGTAGTTCTTTTTATTTTGAATCACCTGTTTGTAGATGTGCTTGAAAGCAGGTTTTAAGTCAGGAGTTGTCCATTCACTGACAACTCCGAACCAGAATGTAGTATATTGCTACTTGCAAGTGCATGGAGCAGATAGTGCAGATAGTGCATAACAGCACATTGCTTGCATAAATCTATAGAATTAAGAACCAACTGTTTCTCTGTATGCGTTTATTTCATACCATTCTTCTCATTCTTACTACTTGAGGAGAAATTACATGTCAAAGAAACGTTCACGATATGGCACCCTAACATGTCATGTCTAGGTTTGGTACCTGCGCAACCACAGTCTTTTGTCAACGGGCAGTGCCATGACTACACGTGACTAAATTTCTCCTTTATGACAGTATTTTCATAGCAAAGCTGCAGCCAATGATGTGCCTTTACCTTAATTTTTTTTCTGGTGTTTTTGATGTAAATCCGAGAGCAAATCATGCTTCTCTACGAGGGTCACCCACTTTTGGAGCCTGTCACGTCACTTGGCAGTTAGGGCCAGTGAGTGAGTGAGTGAAAGTTAGGGCGAGTGAAATGAATGAACACTGTTGTTTGTGCTGGACCCCAAAAACCTGGGCTGTGATATTAGGCTCAGCTGGCTATTGGCTCACTGGTTGGTTTGTTTTATGTTTATGTGAACTGAGTTTCATATGAAATGGAGATATGATAAAAAATTCAGTTAATCTGTAGCCCAAGGTACTGAAAATTTTGCTGTATATACAGGTTTTTATGCTGATTGCCAATATGTCAACAGTTTTTGTTTTGTTTCAAGAAGACATGTATAGTTTTTTTACAGGTCTTTTATGCTACTAAACTTTTATGGTTATAAGCTATTAATGGGTCATATTGCTCCACAATAACTGTATAATGTAAATAACTGTCAAGAAAGTTCACATAAGACATTTTAATGGACAAGAAAAATTTCAATGTGAGAAGTCTTAGAATCCTCAGCCAACACTGATTGCTTGCTTTAGGTTTATATTAATTATGCAGGCAATATAAAATTTTAAAGAAGATACTTGCACCCTTCACATGCGAAGAAATATGTAGGCACAATTTCCTTCTAATTTGGCTGTAAGAAGTACTAACAAAATGAAGTCTAAACTCAAGAAGTCACCAAAAAATGGGTATGGGACAAAGGTATGTTTTTTAAATGATTTTTTCAATCATGAGAGCTTGGCAGTCGTTGCTATTTTAAGTATGTGGCTTTTGCGAAGTCCTCATGCGAAATGCTTTGGCTAGCAGCCAGGTGACAATTTCCAGGGTACTCAAGACAATGAACTCTATTTAGTTTTAGTAGGCACCTTGTGCTCTTTAAAACCAATCTTAACATACTTCGAGTTTATTTACAATCTTCAATTTTTTGTTGTTGTGAAAGTTTAAAAACTAAACACGTGAAAGCAAGTAAACCTAAAATATATCTAATTTTGAAACAAAACTGTTTTTTTTCCACTCGCATCTCTCCTTAAACATATAAACTTCAGTCATGCAAAATTTGCTCTCGGCATATTGTCATTTTTTGGTATGAATGTTTTGTATTTTTGTATGCTATACTTTAAAGAAAAAGGCCCACAAAAAATTCTCGTTATAATAAATTGCTGCCAGTTTTTTTTTTTCATGACCGAGGTAAAGACCTTTTTTGGTATGTATGTTTTGTATTTTTGTATGCTATACTTTAAAGAAAAAGGCCCACAAAAAATTCTCGTTATAATAAATTGCTGCCAGTTTTTTTTTTTTTTTTCCATGACCGAGGTAAAGACCTTATCTGTAGCAAAATGTCACCACCATAACTTTGCTTTCTGTGTATCTTGCATGTGTGTATGCTTTGTAAACTTTTGATTCTTTAATGCTGGGACAGCACCATGGTACCACATAGGTTGGACTGATGTGTTACTTGGAATGTGTACATCATTGTATTTTTGCTTGGAACTCAAGTAAACTAGGCGCATGATTGAGAATGCGGTTTTAGCAAAATTTAGCAGTAGTGGTCGTGTGCCTCATTCAGTGTCTCCTGAAACGCATCACCAACTGTGGCAGTGCAATAAAATAAGAAGGAGAAAGTTTGTCATGTGTGTCTGCAGTGCCGTTTATTGATGAGGGACTGCAGTTGTGTGGATACAAAATCTAGACTTAACATATTCGAGTGCCGTTCTGTGAGTGTTGCTCCGTACTGTCATGACTTCCAGCACAGTGACAATAACAGCGATGAGAGGAAATACTGTATTTACCCAAATCTAACTGAGTTTTCCAGATTTGGGCTATCTAAAGTCAACTCTCGCACCACGCTCAAATACCAAAGTTATATTTTTTCTTCCTGAATGCAATGAAAAGTCACCTCTTGTGTTACAACCATATTTGCATTACAATTGAGTAAATACGATAAAGGAAAACAGCTGATTCTTAGCACTACAGCTTTCTACAAGCAATGCGGTGTTGTGCACTATCTACATGATATTCTGCATTCGGGTTTCAAGTAGTTAGAGAATGGTTGACTCTCCAGGAAATAAAGTCTGCTATCAAGTGTTTTGTGTTACCTTTTATATGGGAATAATGTAGTATGTAGTATTGAAAACTAAATTCAACATGTTATCTTTCCACAGGAAAAGAAGGATCTGCCATGGAACATGGATGAGCTTAAGAAAAAGATGTCGAGCTTAAAGAAGGAAGCTAAATCAGAGTCACAAATTCTTTATTACCTGTTGGAGAACTACCGCAATGCCACTGAAGCTGGGAAGGAAGCTCTGTTGAGAGATATGGAGTTTCTTGTTCACCAGGTTGGTCAAGTTCTGTGTTACCAAAAGGACCTGTGTATATGGTGGTTTGCAAGCATGGCATTGCATATTTGTCTTACACGGTTACGTTTCACACACTTTGATCCCTGTCATGTGTTTGTTATTGATATGCTTGCGTGTGATGACGGTTATTGCATGCAAGAGAAGTTTTTTTGCAAATCTGAAAAGGGCCTTGCAACACTTTTTGAGTATGGTCAGAAAACGCTGCTGATCGGTAGTAGAGGCTCCAGAGAACACGCTAGCCAAATGTTATAGCGCAGAACGCGGCCTGGAATTCACAATAATATATCAAAGCCAGCTAAAAACTGCTTTCTCTTCTCTCAACAAATCACAGAAGACGCTCGAAAATCACTTGTAGAATGCCCATTAATCAGCCATGGGCTGATTTGAACATGGCGCGCTCGGTCGTTACAGAGATTGCCGCAAGAGGCCATCACTTGTGCACGCGTGCGCACGCAATCACACTGAAAAAGTCGCATATTCGAAGAAAAAAAAAAGAAAGAAAAAGTGCTCAAAGTTTCGAGGCGCATGTGACGTTTTTTGTTTGCCCCTCCCATCCCTCTGCTCAGCTTCCAGCGCTTTTGCGGGATGAGAGAAGAGAAAATGCGATTGCAGCGTGTGACAAATCTTTGTAACTCCGCTCGTACTGGACGAATTCTTAAAATTTTTGTGGTGTTGAATTTGTGAGGAATTGAGCTCTTCGAGTGAATGAATTCCATGGTTACTCAAAAAAGTGTTTCTGGGCCCCTAGAAGCTGCTTTCAAAAATTAGGTTCATAAGTAAAGTTAAGTTGCTTTCCAGTCTATGTGGGCTTGCAGCTTTGTGTGGGTCATGCTGGTTTGAACTAATAGGAGAGAGAATAGTGTTGCATGGGCGAGCTATAAAAGAAGAGGAGATGAAGCCTTGATTTTTAAAAAGTGCTACCTCAAGATTGTCCCTTCTTTGCTTGTTTGCTTTCTCAAATTGCTGCTGACTCTGTAATTATGGTATGAAGCCTGGATTCTTCAAATATGCAATAAGTCGTAAACTATACTTTTTTCGAGTGTGAATAGCTCAAAACATGCACCAAATAGATATAGGAAGAAAGTGAAGGAAAGAAAAGAGGGTCAACACATGAATGTACGGTTTTCTATCTGATCTTGTTGAAAGGGGCTGAGGAGATGAACAAGAAATGACAGAGAGAGAACACTGTGGGTTTTGCTTTGTCCAGAACTTACTCACAAAAGTCAGTCAATTTCTGTGGCTACAGTAATGCATACGTTTTCGGGCTTTTAAAGCATGTGTCTATGCTTCAAGTACTCTCGTCTCCATGAATGTTCTTGAATACAACTGATCTGATGCAGTACCAGGCATTGGGAATCAGCAGGCACAGATGCAGAGAAGATTTTCAATAAACACCTCGCACCCCCACATGTGGAAAGAATGTGTGTCACTCATCCCAGGAAGAAAAAAAAATAGCTCTATGTGGATGCCAGACCCAGCCACTATTGATTCATTTATGTTTCACTGCAGCCTTGTGGCAACTGGTGTTTATGAGGAGGCAAAGAATTCCTTGAAAAGAGTTTTAAAAATCAGAGAGTCTCAATCAGATGTGGTGGCACTATGAGTCAGTGATTCAAAGTTTAACAAAAGCTGTTGGCAATGACACAGTAAAAAAATTGAGGAAATTATGCTGGTATAAAAAAGACACAAAAAATATGAATTTAAATCTTCCAAGATCACTAGTTTTGGCATTTACATTAGCCAATATATTGTAATATGTGAATTTATAATAATAATAATAATAATAATAAATAATAATAATAATAATAATAATAATAATAATAATAATAATAATAATAATACCATGAAATTCGAACTTTATATTTCTAATTATATGACACAGTATATTTCTCCTTTATTTAGTATGACACAGCCGTGGACTTTGTGGCAATGGGCGGCCTGCTTGCTATTTCACCTGATCTGAACTCCACATCTGACGCCATTCGCGAACTGGTTGCGCACACGCTTGGCTCAGCATTACAGGGGTAAGTGTTTTTTTCTCTTTGAAAGTTGAATGTGTGACATCCAACTGTAATGTGGCAAAATAAAGTACTAACTATAAGGTGTAATTTCTCTTTTACATTCAATAATTGAGTCGGTCTATTGTATGATCAATCCTTTGAGTGTGAAAGACTTACATGTTAAATCATCTCCTAACAGTCACGAGACAGTAAAAGATGTACATGTATGCCATTGCCTGAGTGTTTAGATTGAGCGCCTTTTTCGATCATTTCTTTTGCTTGGCATGCGCTGCCACACGGTGGAAATGCGTGAAAATTTTTTGTTGCATCGATGTCTCTCTTTTTTTATTGCTTTACTGCAGTGGTGTGCCGGCTAGTTTCGGTTTCGTTTTTTGGCCGCTTTCCGCTTGTTGTGCCAACAAAAGTAATTGTTTTTCAGTTTAGTTTTTTTTTTTGAAAGGTGACCGATTTGTTTCTTTCTCACTTATCGTTCTCCGGATTTGCGATTACTACTGTTTCCATGCAGGCGCTGACTGGCACAAACAATGGTACTGCGGCAGGGTTCCCTGTTTCGGGTACTCACAAAATCCAGTTCTTTCTTGTTGGTGATAATACAATTGCTTATTCAATGTTTCAGGATTAATTTTGGTTTCTGGACATGCTCACAACTACACAGTTTTCTTCAATGCGATCACCTGCACAGTTTGGTTTAGCTAAGGAAGGGCATGCTTGTTCAATTCCTTGCCTCAAGTGAGTGAAGGGGCGATTCCTCTAAATTACTGCTTGACCACTGAATCAGCATTTGACTCGGTAAGTGTCAGTGCGTCAAATGAGGAGTTAGGCCTGAAAATTGTGCCCGCCGAGACGATGCTGATAGGATCAAAAATGGCTTTTCTTACTTTATGTTTCCACTTAATGCCACTTCGTGCACTTTTTGTATGTCTGAACTACAGAGACATTTATCTGAGCCATAGTTTTTTAAAAGTTGTATAGGGCTTTTTTTTTCTTCTTTAGAATTGATCTTGGTGGTACTCGCAAAGAATCCATGTGTATGTAACAACGCAAATGATTTTTAATCACTTTACGGTCATCCCCAAAAAAATTTAGATAATTTTTTTTCTGTAACAGATTAGTCTAAGAATTCAGTTCAGTGATAAAAAAGTGTACGTTTTTGGAAGCATTTCATGAAAAAAAAAATCAGCCCTCTAAGGAAAAATCCTCAATGTAAAGTTTCAGTGCCCAGGTATCTTTAGCATTTTTTTTTAAAAAGCAAAGCTAGAGCTGGCTTTAAAAACTTTGGCACATACAAAAAATTTCTCGGAGTGACCAGCAACCACCAAAGCCCAAGCTGCGCAGCACCTGCCTGCTCCCTGACACATGTGCTCTCTTCAGTCTCTTCTTCGTCGTCTTCTGCTTTGCTATCATAATGCATGCGTTGACTGCTCCAGTATGAGATGTAATAACTCTGATGGGTGAGACAACAAGTAAAGAAAGAAAAAAATGTTGTAGAAAGAGATATAGAGTATAGCAAAAGGGTAGGAAGGGGAAGTAATGGTAGGAGGGGAGAGAGTAAAGCACAGTGCAGTAAGAAGGAGAAAGAGAGATATAGAAAGAATTGAAAAGAGAATGAAAAAGAAGAAGGGAATAAAAAAAAGCAACAGAAAGGAATAAAAGCGACAAATACTGAAAGAGAGATAAAACAGGACAGAAAACGTGAAATAAATGGATTGAAAAATATATATGAGAAGAAACATAACTTACCTAATTTTATTACCAACGGTATCGACTGGTCAAAGCCGTTGGTAATAAAATTAAGACAACCGCTAAGTTGTGTTTCTTCTCTTCCCAAGTACGTTTGACCCATTGGAAAATCATCACACACACACACACACACACACACACGCACGCACGCACGCACGCACGCACGCACATATTGCCACATTCCTTCCTTTACTCAAGTTTTGTTATCCCCCCGTTACACTGTGTTCTGTACGAACGGCGCCTATGGTGTTCGAGAACCTTCGAGGCTGTAGTAGATCATTTTGTTGAGATTACGCCCACTTCGCAAGTATTAGAGATCACTCTGGAACCTACGTGGCTGCTAGCGATAGCGCTAGAGTATTCGATGGCACATGTATAAATGCCGGCGTGTTTCATCACTAGTCAGTTGATCGACGGCCGACGCTCTGCTCGCCGCTATCAGTGCCAGTGTCTTGCTGTAATCTGACGTTCCCTCTACAAGGCCACAAGTTTGGTCCGAATAAACCGTTTATTATTCGATCTGCACTCTGCTTCCTCCATTCACGTCACGACCCAGTGACATCTGGTGGACGTGCTGGGTAGACTGCAGGTCGAATAATAAACGGTTTATTTGGACCGAACTTGTGGCCACGTAAAAAGAATGTCAGATTACAACGGACTCAAACAGTGTATTTTATTGTTGTTGTTATTGCTGTAGCCTAATTTATTGCTTGTAAAATGGGTTTTATTGGTTCAAGTACAGCACTTGAACAGGAAGCTTACAGACGCTGAGAGTGGCGGCGACAACCAGCACACGAATCACAGCGTTGATCACAACAGCTCGCGCTGGGCTCTTCAGGCTAAGGTCGTCGCCCACTATGGCATATCGCTCTTCTTCCTCCTTACAATACCCGGGGACGAAGGAGAGCCATTCTGGCTAGTCATGGTGACGAGAGAAGAAATTGGTCATGATACGGCTTGAAGCGGCTGACTTGCGCTGTCTCGTGACCAATGCAGCGCCTGTGTGTTGATGGCTTAACGGGCTCATTAACATATATTATGAGTGAGTGGCGTTTCACGACATGGTAAGGACCGTCATACTTTAAAGGAAACTTAGACGACAGGCCAGGAGAGTGGAAAGGCACCTGGAGCAAGACCAGCGAACCCACGGCGAAAGTTGGGACTTGCTGGTCGCGGCGTTCTTTTACAGCAAAAGCTGTTATGAGATCACAACTCGAGTCACGCGCAGTTGTCTTCCGCCGCCGTCGGTGTCCGTAACCACATCTCGTGCGAAATTAGAAAAAAAAAACCTAGCACCAGTGACACAGTGGGGCTCGAACCCTGGTCCGCTGGGTGCCAGCCCAGTATTCTACCACTGAGCCACATTGGTGCTTGGGACTTGTTGGCAAACTTGCCATAGGCAGGCTTGATGTTGGGAAAGAATCGCGTTAATGCAAAAGCAACAAGCGTTTTAAAACAGTGAAAGAACAACCAGTCGTCTCACAATGCGAATAGCATAATAAGTGGGTCGTCCAATGCTCCAACCCATTACAAAAGCTTGTTCTTGTTCTCCTATCAAAGGGGCCCTGTAACACTTTTTGAGCATGGTCAGAAAACGCTGCTGATCGGTAGTAGAGGCTCTCGACAACACGCGAGCCAAATATTATAGTGCAGCACACCGCCTGTAATTCACAATAAATCATCAAAATCAGCGAAAAATACCTTTCTCTTCTCTCAGCAGATCACGGAATTAAGCCCAGTAAGTCCATCTATCAACCATTGGCTGATTTGAACATAGCGCGCTCGGTTGTTACAGAGGTCGCCACGAGAGGCCGCCACTTGTTCTCGCATGCGCGTACGATTGCACTGAAAAAGCCGCATATTCAAAGAAAAAAAAATGCTCAAAGTCAGGAGTCGCGAGTGACGTTTTTTGTTTGCCCCTCCCATCCCTCCCTGCTCAGCTTCCAGTGCTTTTGTCGGGACGAGAGAAGAGAGATTGTGATTGCAGCGTGTGACAAATCTTTGTAACTCCGCTCGTACTGGACGGATTCTTAAAATTTTTGCGGCGTTCAATTTGTGAGATAATAAGCTTTTCCAGTGAATTGATTCCATGGTTACTCAAAAATGTGTTTCAGGGCCCCTTTAACTGTGGCGCATACCCACTTCAACCATAATTCCTCATCGTCGTCAGTCACTGCTTGAACGATTGGTGCAAAATTCCTTACAAGTGTTTAGGGGATATGACACTTCTCAGAAGAATGATGAAAAATGGCATAGTGAATGCCGGCCCACTACCCAAAAAATTTTATTATTAATGCCCTAGTGGGCATCAAGCAAGTGTGCCGGCAGTAGTTACTTAATGGGTGTTTTTTAAGGCTCTGAAAGGCCGTTCTTCTAGCTTTCGCTGTAATTGTGCTGCGCTTTCCGCGCAGGCCTGGTGGTTTTTTTTCGAGGGCATGTTTGTTCAAGGTGAATACACGGGCCAACTGACGGCACTCTTCAGTGTATCGTACAATTTCTGAAATAGGGTTGAATTCGGAAGCGTCCGGCCAAGACGGCAAAATGGAGTCAACGGTGGCGCATGGTTCGCAGCCATATAGAAGAAAGAAAGGTGAAAAGCCAGTTGTTGACTGGATCATAGTATTATACGCATTAGTTACAAACGGGAGCACCACATACCAGTTTGACTGGTCAGAATCAACGTAGATCGCGAGCATGTCCCCCAGGGTTCGGTTGAAGCGCACAGTTAGACTGTTGGTCTGCGCGTGCTAGGCTGTAGAGGTGCGGTGAACTTTGCGGCACGCGCGGAGGATTTCTTGAAGAACTTCAAATAGAAACACAGGCCTTCTATCGCTGAGTAGTTTGCGTGGTGCACCATGACGCAGTACGAATCGTCGTAACATGAAATTGGCGACGTCTTGAGCACCAGCAGAAGGTAGCGAAGCTGTTTCTGCGTATCTTGTACAATGGTCCACGGTGACGATTACCCATTGATTACCAGCTGTGTTGTAAGGGAGTGGTTCATATAGATCGATGCCAACACGGTCAAAAGGGCGTGCAGGGCATGGTAGAGGCTGAAGCAATCCAGGTGAATGGGCAAATGACTTGTGTTGTTGGCAAAACGGACAGGATTGAATATATTTCTGTACGAAGGTGTACATGCCACATCAGTAGTAGCTTTGGCGGAGCCGTTGGCGAGTCTTCAACACTCCAGCGTAAGCATATTACGGATCAGCATGAAAATACGCACATATGTCAGATCGCATGCGTTTTGGTATCACCAA